AATTATTTCAGGCTTTTACATTCCGGACAATAAATTTTTTCGCTAATATTAACTGTTTTTCATGTATATATATTTTTTTAAAGCATTTAGCGTTTAACATCTTTAAGTGATCATATTAGGAATAAGTCTATTTCTTAATTTGAAAACGAATTTTATTCTTTTTAACGTAATTAAATGTAAAATAAAAGGAAATTTTTTAAAAATATTTTTTTATTTTGTGAAAACTACTTTTTTTTCTTGTCAAAATATTTTTCTCTTTCAACCGAAGACAATGTATATGAGGTAATAAATTTGAAGGTATATAAATTTGCATTTTTTAAAACAAAATTTGTATATTTTTTTTTAATTTTTAGAAATTGTTTTTTTTTGTTGATAAAATATTTGTAATGCTATAAACATTAAAAACTGTAGAGCAGTAATTAAGTTAGAATTTAATTACTGCTCTACAGTTTTTAATGTTTATAGCATTACAAATATTTTATGAAAAACATATGAAAAACAAACAGAAATTCTTATAAATTGGGGTTAAAAGCTAACTTTAACTGGCTTTAACTGGTTAAAAGCTACAACTTTTTATTTTGCTTATTCTTCTAAACAAATTTGATTCCGAATTACATGCTGTCGCAGCGAAAATAAAAAGAGCTCGAGTATTTCATAACCCAAAACGATTTCGGATTTTTAAAGGAAGAAAAGAGAGAAAAAAATAATAGAGAAGTTTCAAAATAAAACTATTTTAAGAATTACTTTTTTATTCCTTTTTTAGAATTTCCTTTTGGATCTTTTTGCGCCCCTTCTTGTTAGAAAAAAATTAGCAAATCACAAATACCCTTTTACCTAAGCAGTCATATATTTTTTGAATCATTCTTTTTGTACTTTTCGAAAACCCTAAAATTATCTCTCAAAATGTAAATTTGTGGGTGAGAGAAGTTTTCTTATACCTGACGAGAAATTTCTGAAAATAATAGTTTCAGAATTCAAAATTGTTTTTAAAAACAAGATTATGAGAAGAAAGTTAAGAATTCCCGTAACTATAAGTGCAAGAATAAACAATCGAATATTTTTTGTGATGAAATTCCGAAATAAAAAATTTAATAAAAATATTCCATGATAACAAATTTGAAATCTCACTTCTGAAATATTTATTTTCTTATTAGTTCTGACACAGTTTCCACTTCTCATGTAGTTTCTTCCTGGAAGTTAAATCAGACGACGCTGGAGACATCTGTTTAAAATCATAGAAACTAAATCTACGATTTGAAACGGAGATTGTAAAAAGTCAAACAGTTATTTTAGAAACCGACGATTTAAGCAGAAACTACCTTTCAGTAACTTGTAGTGATACAGGTGTGTTCATTACTAACATAGACTAATATTATTGCATGTGAAATTTCTTGATTTTGGAAATAAATGTTTTAAAAATCCATTAGTTGTATTGCATTGAGTAAATAAAAATATAGAATGAACAATAATACTTGTTGAAATTTTATAGAAACAGTTACACAGAAAATGTTGAAATATTCTATAGGTTATCTTTTAAAAGTAGATGTCCAATCATATTAATGTCCGATGAATGATAATTTTGGTTGATTTTAAAAATTTATTAAAATTATTCTATTACTTAAAAAAATTACGATTTTTTGCTTAGTCTCTTTAAATAACTGAAAATTGAATAAAATATATTATAATTACTGCAAACCACACTAAAGGTAAATAGAAATTGAGAATTTATGTAATTTCTAGGACAAAAAATGTTTTTTTTTTAAAAATTGCAAAGTTTTGTTTCGAAAGTTTTTTTTGTGTCATATAATTGTTTGGTGATATGAAAATTTAGGTGACATGTCTTAGACATGTTAAATTAAATTATGAGCATAATATCAAATGTGCCATATCTAAAACAGCATTAAAAAGGTGTTAATTATCGAATTTTGTACTCTAAGAACCTGTTTGTAGAGTTTGATCCATTATTTTTTTTACATCAAGAGTATTGGAACTTTTAAAGCATTGAGATCTTTTCTTAGAAACCGAATCAAAAACTAACTGAAACCTCTGCGAATAGAATTTTATCAAGGACGATATCACGTTATTTCCTGTAAGAGTTACTATGAATTATTATTATAGAAAAAATATTAAAACTATTATCAAATATTATCCGAGAGTATACATTAAAATAGGGAATATAAGTAGGGGGAAAATGAGCGCTACACCTGACTTCGGATTCATGACCTCTCGTCTATAGAATGAGTTCTACACCCCACTTCTTCAGTATGGATGAGAGTTCAACTACCCTGATAAGCTCTTAGTAAAGATGACGTAGCATGGCCCTTTACGTAGCATGGTTTGGATTGACAAACGCTTTTTAAAAGTTTTGGGCATTTACTTCTGCACAACTATAGGCATATTTGAAAAATTTAATGTTTATTTTTTAATCTAAAATAAGTTTGAGATAAATTCCTCATTGCAAATAATTATAAATAATTCGCAATGTGTCCTCCATTATGCTAATCATATACAGGGTGTCCCAAAACGACCGCATAAACTCTGCACAGCTAAATTCCCTGTTGGGAGTACATAAAAACTGCCTAAAGAAGCGTTCCTGTACGATCCATATTTTACGAGAAAAATACGAAAAACAAAGTATGACGTCACAGCCGGTGCAAGAGAAAACACTTTATTGAACATATCAACAGCAGTATACTATGCACAATTTAAAGCAGAATATGCACAGCGATAGTTTTAAACATTATCGTCTTGAAAGATATGCAAATACTGTCGTTGATATGTCCAATAAAGTGTTTTTTTTTCTTGCACCGGCAGTGATATCATACTTTGTCTTTCGTATTTTTCTCGTAAACTATGGATCTTACAGGAACGCTTCGTTGGGCAGTTTTTATGTACTCCCAACTAGGAATCCAGCTGTGCAGAGTTTATGCTGTCGTTTTGGGACACCCTGTATGCGCTATTAACGTTGCATGGTTTAAACTAAATAAATCCTTCTTTAAAAATTTTAAGTATTTATTTCTTCACGTATATGGGTATTTTTGAAAAATTTGCCGCTTACTTTGTAATATGAAACAAGTAACAAATGAATTTCTAATTTAAAAAAGTTAAAAAAAGAAAAATCGCAAAGTGTCCTTTATTTATGTACGCTCTTAACGCAGCATTGTTTGGACTAAAAATTGCTTCTTTAAAAAATTTGAGTTCCTATTTTTTGACAAATCTGTATATTTTGAAAAATATTTCTGGTCATTTTTTAATTTTAATCAAGTTTAAAATGAGTTCTCATTGCAAAAACTTATAAAAAATTCGCAAATTTTCCTCCTTTTCGTCAATTATACATATTCTAAGACATCATTGTTTGGAGTAAACAAATTCTTCTTAAAACTTTTGATAACTTATTTCTTGACACATATGGGTATTTTTGAAAACAATGACGCTTACTTTGAACAAGTTTTAAATGATTTCCTCAATACAAAAAATTAGAAAAATTCGCAACTATATTAATGGTCTTAACGTAGCATGGTTTGAACTAAACATATGCTTCTTCAAAATTTTGGGTATTTATTTTTTTACATCTCTGGGTATGTTTGAAAAATTTGACGCTTACTTTATAATCTGAAACAAGTTTCAAATGAATTACTCATTACAAAAAAATTATAAGAAATTCGCAATTTGTCCTTCATTATGTTAACTGTATTAATGCTCTTAACGTAGTATAGTTTAGATTAAACAAAGGTTTGTTAAAAATTTTGGGTACTTACTTCTTCACAATTATGGGTATTTTTGAAAAAATTGACACTTTTTAACTGCAACAAGTTTCAAATGAGTTTCTCATTGCAAAAAATTATAAAAAATTCAAAATGTTTCTTTCATTGTGTTTACCACATAATGTTCTTCGCGTGGCATGATTTAGACTAAAGAAATGCTTCTTAAAAAAAAACTTTTAGTACATATTTCTTCACATACATGGGTACTTTTGAAACATTTGACACTCCCTTTTTAATCTTAAAAAAGTTCTAAAAGAATTCCTTAACACAAAAAATTATGAAAAATTCGCAAAATTTCCTCCATTTTTTTTAACTATATCTAAGCATTTTACGTAGCATGGTTTAGACAAAACAAATTCCTCTTAAAATGTTTGGGTGTTTATTTCTTTACATCTATGGGTAGTTTTTAAGCATTAGACACTTTTTGACAATGCCACTATCTAAATCGTGCAACGCTAAGAGCATATGTATGGTTAACATAATGGAGGACACTTTGTGAAATTTTTGTAATTTTTTGCAGTAAGAAATTCATTTGAAACTTGTTTCAGCTAAAATATAAGTGGCAATTTTTTAAAAAAATTACCCCGAATTGCGAAGAAGTAAGCACTCAAAACTTTTAAGAAGCATTTGTTTAGTCCAAACCATGCTACGTTACGAGCATATATATAGTTAAGATAATGGAGGGTTCTTTCGGAATTTTTTATAATTTTTTTGAAATGAGGAATTCATTTGAAACTTATTTCAAATTACAAACTGAGCGTCGTTTTCTTTCTTCAAAAATACCAGTAAGTTTCAAGAAATAAGTACTCAAAATTTTTGAAAAGGATTTGTTAACTCATGTTAAGAGTAATCATGCATAACAGTTGGGCTGAAAAGTTCGTAAGCTAACATAGAAAAAAAATTTTTTTTGATGAAATTTCATTTTATTATTCAATATAGTTTCCTTCAAGGGCGATACTACGATTATAGCGGTCATATAATTTTTCGATACCATTTTTATAGTACGATTTGTTTTTAGCCTCAAAATAGGCCTTTGTTTTGGTGATTACTTCTTCATCGGTGCTAAATTTCTTTCCAGCGAGCATTCTCTTGAGGTCTGAGAACAGGAAAAAGTCGTTGGGGACCATATCTGGAGAATACGGTGGATGCAGAAGCAATTCGAAAAGCAATTAATATAATTTTGCCATCGTTTTCATTGACTTATGACACGGTGCATTGTTTAGATGAAACAGCACTTTATTCTTCTTCAAATGGCATACCCAAATATTCATTCACTATATGTCCAACATGTTTCTTTGATATCTTTAGAGTCTCGGATATTTTGATCAACTTCACTTTATGGTAATCTAAAATAATTTTATGGACTTTTTTGATGTTTTCGTCGGTATCATCCGCTTTGGCGCGTCCACTGTGTGCATCGTCGCCGGTGCTCATTTCGCCTCGTTTAAATTTAGCAAACCACTTCTCAATGGTTGATTTTCCTGGTACAGAGTCCGAATAATGTTTCTCAAGCCAAGCCTTGGCTTCAAGATTATTTTTTTTCGCTGAAAAGGAATACTTTATAAACACATGAAATTCCTTTTTATCCATTGTTTTTAAACTAACAAAAGTTGCTTCACTAAAAGTACTATATCTCACAAACTAATAGTCCGACAGCTGTCAAATTTATACACATGTCTTTCAAAGGTTAGAACTAACTAAAAATCATATTTATTTAATAATAGTAACCCCATCTATGCGTCAGCCTACAAACTTTTCATCCCAACTGTTAATTAACGTAATGAAGGACAATTTGCGAATTTTTAATAATTATTGAAAATGAGGAAATAATTTTTTTTTCAGATTATAAAGTGAGCGTCACTTTTCTTCAAAACTATGTACTAAAATTTTTAAGAAGCAATTTTTAGTCCAAAGAATGTTACTTTATAACGAAAAGAATTCATATAAGAATAAAGGACATTTTGTGAATTGCTTAAAAATTTTTTGCAATGTGGATTTCATTTGAAACTTGTTTCAGATTACAAAGTAAGCGTCAAAATTTTCAAAAATACCCATAAATGCAAAAAAAATGAGTAAACAAAATTTTTAAGAGGAATATGTTTAGTCCAAACCATGCTACGTTAAGATCAATAATATAGTCAACATAATGAAGGATGTCTATAAGAGCATTATATAAATGTGATTTTTTTATAATTTTATGCATTAAGGAAATCATTTGAAACTTGTTTCATATTACAAAGGGGCGTTAATTTTCCCAAAAATACATCTATTTGTCAAGAAATCAGTAATAAAAAATTTTAAGAAAGATTTGTTTACTCCAAACAATAATATGTGAAAAACATATGTATAATTGACGAAAAGGAGGAAAATTTGCGAATTTTTTTATAATTTTTTGCAATTGAGAACTCATTTGAAACTTGATTACAATTAAAAAAAAAATAACAGTCAATTCTTTCAAAAATACCCATATATGTCAAGAAATATGTACTCAACTTTTTCAAGAAGCAATTTTTAATCCAAACAATGTTACGCTAAGAGTATACATACAAAAATAAAGGAGGACACAGAAAAATTTTTGTAACCTTTTTTAAATGAGAAATTCATATGAAACTTATTTCAGATTACAAAGAGACAATTTTTGTTAAAAATACCCATACGCGTGAAGAAATAAATAATAACAAATTTTTAAGAAGTATTTGTTATGTCTAAAATGCGACTGTAAGTATGCGACTGTTATCTATGCGACTTTAAGAGCATATGTATGGTTAATATAATGGAGGACACTTTGGCGAATTTCTATAATAATTTGCTATGAGGAATTCATTTGAAACTTCTTTCAGATTACAAAGGTAGCCTCAAATTTTTATAATATGCCCATAGTTGTAAGAAATAAATACCTAAAATTTTTAATATATATATATATATAGATATATATCATTCTGTTATTTATTGTGTTGGTATGTTTGTGAATTTCGCGCATGATTTTGTACAGTTGTTCAATACTAATATTGATTACTAAGTTTTTTTTAACCTTTTAACCCCGTACGAAAAGTGAGTATTCAACTAGTTGTTGAGAAAGAAAATGAAAAAATAAATAAATAAATAAATAACATAGAAATAAATAACAGAAAATCTCCATCAGTTTTCTGATTTCGGGAATAACTGTTATTTTTAAAGCGCTTTGCGAAATGAAATTAAAAACAAAAGCCCCTAGCTAAAAGATAAATAATCATTAAAATTATTTTTTTTAAAAAAATACGTAAATCTAAAATATTACCTATGCTAAAAGATTAAAATCAATGAATATGGCTATTTTTCGCGTATTTCTTATAAAATTTTAAAAAGTTAAATACAAACGCTTTAAGAAAAATCACATGTTTTTTCCTTCATATTCATTATCAGCAAAAAAGGCGCTTTCTACAGATGAAGAAAATGCAGCTTAAAATTTATTTGCAATTGTTACTGTTATAAAAATAAAACTTTTTTTGCTAAAAGAAAGTTATTTGATAAAATAAATCAACAATTTAAAGAAAAAATTCCGGAATTTCTTGAAAACTTTCAAATATCATTTTCAAATTCTGGGGGAAAATAGCTATGGTTTTCAAACGTTCGAACACTTTACGGAGAAAAATTTTTTGAATAAATTACTGCACTGTATGGAGTAAAATTACCGTACTGTATGATAATGATACATTTGATACAAAAAAAAATACCTAACTCTGGTTAATAAAACCAAAATATACTGTCTTTAAACCGTTCATCTGGTAATTTTTCCGTTAATTTAAATGGTAATATAATAATTTGAATTTCATTGGTTTACCGAAAATTCTGGTTTTCAAAATTGTAGTTTTTATATCCACACATTAAGTAAAAACTGCAAAGCTTTACCAAATTGATGGTTTTCATTCCATGGTTCACGGTATCATGAAAAATTAATGGATTTAACCACATGTACCAAATTTTATTCCAGATTATAAAACCACATTTTTTTTGCTAATTTTACAAGAATCATTACCAAAGCGCTTCTGTAAAATTACCAAGCTTTTTGGTGTTCCCATAGAGTTAGAAACGCATTGAATTTTACCATATCCTGGTAGTTTTGATCATACTTTATTTTGAGTATGAGAAAATTCCGAATGAACGGTTTTTGAGCCATGCTCTAAAGTATCATGATTAAATTGCCAAATTTTATCATATATTATAAAACCATGTTTTATTTTTAATTCTACCGAAGCGTTTCTATAAAAATTGCTGAGCTTTTTGGTGTTCCCATAACACTCAGTAAATTTCACCATTATTCTACCATAATAGTTGTGACCACTGCTTACTCGGACTTTAAATGAATGGTTTAAAACTATTAGTTTGGAGTTGATAGTTTGAAATAAATAATTCATATTTATGGTTCAAAAAATATTTTAAGTTGAGATACATTTTTAGTATAATACATTAATTTTTAGCAATATCAAATATTTTGACTTCTTTTGCAAATTTTATCCTACCCAATACAGTTTACAGTCACAATACACTTATTTCTTTTCGCTAGTAATGAATGAGTTATTTTATACCTTTTCTGTCTACTTCATTTGTTTTCTGGAGACTATTTTAACATGTTAAATAAAAGTTCGTAGAACTCTAGTAGTACCTTAAATTTCAGAAGAAAAAAAACATTTTCAGCTTTCAAAATGCAATATTTCGCCAAGAGAGTGTCAAACAAACTTTTCTAAAAATAAATCACAAAGTAGCAACATTCTTTTTTTAAGGAAAAGATAACATAAAAAATTGAGTTTAAAATGAAGCAGGAATTATTTCATAAAATTCAAAAAATGTTCCGAAATATTTTCTATTGAAATGAAATTAAGATATAAGCTGTAAAGATTTGCTTTTGAAATTGAAGGAATCATTTTTTAACTTTTAATTAGAAAAAAAAACTAATGAAGCTGTAAGCTTCAATCTATAAATAAAAGTTAATTTATTCCAATAAACATTCATGCAATATTAGCTTTCCTCATAATTTTAATATAAATTGTACGGATTAATTTTTTTTTGTTTTGGAAAATCATAGTTTTCTGTAATTTTTATATATGTAACGCACTCGTTTACTTATAATTCTTAGTTTCATTTATGCACTTTTTATCAGGATGAGTTAGTCTGAACAATAATTTCCTAAGTTGCCTTGTCCTCTGAGTTTGGGGGGAGAATTATTATCTGGAACTAAAGATGCAAAAATAAAATATGAATCATTATTTTTAATAATAATAATGATAAGTAACGGCTTCTTAAATAATTACTATGTTAAATGCAGGAGTATAAGTTAAGTAATAACTGCCAAAACGATTAATACTTTTTATTAAAAAAAAATTGTAGGATTGCTTAAATATATCAAGCTTTTTCACCATTAAATATTAGCGATGTGCTAATTAGCAATATTTTATTTAACAGAATAATGAATTATTTATACACAAGTATAAGCCTTCGAATCAAATTCAAACGTTAAATAAACAATCCAAAAGAACTGATGCGAAAATAAATTCTAGATAATGTAAAAACTTTAGTTGCTTTTAAAAAACTTTAAGAATGAAAATTAGCCATATTTCAATTGCTCGAAAATAGGCACTCATTCTCAAGACTCACCAGAGCATAAAGCATATTCCATAGCACTTGGAAATGCAATTTGATTTGACTGTCGGAGCTACCGAGGTTTTTCTTATTTTTTATTTTCACCTTTATTTTATTTTCCATTTTTTCCTTTTCTTTTTCATTTTTCTTTTACTTTCCTTACTTACGTCTGTTGAGACTTGTGAAGGGGTGCCCATTTTCGAGGCCTCAAAACACTCCGTCTTTTTCTACTTTTATAATTTTTTGAGGCGAGTTTTTAACTTTTGATTTTAAATGTTATTTTAAAGTAAAAAAATTAATACGGTGTAAATTTTTATAATTTTTCCCCACCACATTAAAAAGCATATATAGATTGTAAAGCAGCAAAAAAGTAGTTAAATTTTTTTAAATAATTTATTAGATTTTTGTATCTTGCTTTTTTAGCATCTTGAAGTTCTTAAAATGGATTGAATAACACAACCGTTATTCACAAAACACGTAAACAATTTACTGTAATTTGCTACCACTTATGATCTTAATCTAGACATTTAACACAGTAACACATTAGCTTTCTAAAAAAAAATGAAATTTATTTAATGTTTGAAAATGTGCAATATTAAAAAAAGTTCCAGTTAAAAAAATAATAATAGAAACAAAATGTAATTAGTGAGCGGTGAAAGACTAAAAGATGAAATGATAGCTTCTTTTTTTCTTTTCTTCTTTTTGATGAAAATAATGGTGCCTAATCTCCATTAGCAACACTCCCTCACTCTTTTTGTCTCAAATGATATAAAAGTTTGCCCAACTTAAACTGAGGAAAGGCAGCAATTATTAAAGCAGAAATATCCTCGAAATAAATTCCACATCATCTAAATAAATTGATGCGAAACGTTTTTAAATAAACCTCCGTTAATGCTGAAGAGTCGTCTGCAAATAAACACGCATTGCCAGGTTCAAAAATAGAGCTTCTATTCTTAAATGAGCTTGTGATAAAG